GCGCCATAGCACGACAACCCTTTAGGACACCCACGCATCACGCTGTTTCGCTGGCCTATCGCCGTGAACTAGACGCGCGTACTACTTGGTCTTCCACGTCTATTTGGAAAGCAGCCGAAATTTGCAATGTTGTTTCGTATCGGAGAGAGCATGGAGTCAGGACTCTTTCCCTTCAGAAAGATCGTGAGAGTAGCACGCGTTCGCGTCAGAGAGAGCTTAGTTCCTGGGAGAGCGGCGCGTACGACCTCACGCACTTAGCGGCAGCTAGCACTCCGTCACAAAGACGAGGCACTATTAGTCGCGCAACTTTTCTTGAACGAAGGATTTGCTTCCCCCTCTGGCACAATAAACAGTTGAAGACAAAACCTTGCAGCGACCACTGATGACAACATTCCAAACACATCTTCACTGGCGCAAATAGAAACTACTTTCCGTTGAAGAAGAGAACTTCGGTGTGTGATTTTTCTTAAACCAATGTAAAGAAATGACCGAAGCAGGTGAAGATCCATCACAGAAGATATCTCGAGCTCCTGAGAAAGTTAGAACGCAAATTATTGAGAAAGTTACGAATGCATGACTGATTCTCCAGATTGGCATTGCTCTATAAAATCTAGTGGCTGATTTCGTAGTTAATATCCCCCACTCTACCTGCATTTCTTCATTCCATCGTTCAAGAAAAGTTGCGCGAGTAATACATGTCCGGTGGACTTCCATAGGCGCTAATGCATTGCTCTGGTGAGGCCGCAAACAGAACGTTTGCCATCGGGCGAACGAACTATTGCTAACGGCCGAGATGGCTACAAATGGACGCAGGAGCGCCGTCGCACCGGGATTCAGGTGTTGAACCACCGAGACGCGGGCGCCGACACCGTGCAAGCAGCGGGCGCCTGTAGCCCGCCGTCCCGCCCTAATAGTGGCTCAACATATTCGGAATTCGCCGAGCAGGGAGCAACTGCTCGCCCAATCCTGAAAGGTTGATGTGTTCGACGAATGTTCGCTCCCTTTGATGTGTCCTAAAGACCGACACGCGGTGGGTAGGGCGAATTCCGAACGTTCGGCCCTCAGCGAATCGTAAGCAACCCGTCCTCGCTACTCGGGATTCGGCGAGCGGTGGCTCGGGAGTTGCCGAATGCCGCGTGTGTGGACCCACCTTGTGCGAGGAAGCGCCCCATCTGAGGCAGCCCCGGCCGATCGTCGACGTCCGGACTCCACGTTGACGCCGCTTCGGAGGCTGACCGCCGCGGGCGTCTATCGTTGGAGGTTGACTCCGCCTGCTCCGAGATTCCGGGCGTCACAGCGGCTTCGCGATGGGTCCATGCTGAACGCTGAGGCTGATAAACACCAGGCGTGAATTAGGATAAGATCTAGAATTCAGTTAAGATCAAAATCCATGTCACCAGAGGCTTCACCAGGGCCATATAACTCCCGTATAAAGTGGTGGAAACCATTACGGTGGCGCGCTCTGCTGAAGCACCTTGTTACAGGATCTAAAACACGAACTGCTGCCAACGATATTTCAAACATGCATGGCTGCTGCGTGAGTTCTCGGTTCACAAGCAGGCCTTTATTGTTACAAAAGATAACGTCGATATACGCGCTTTCTTCAGGAGTTTCTATGCGTATATTATGAATAATTAAACATTTAAAAGACGTTTTTCTTATTTCTTAGAAATTAGTCAATTCTTATGTGCGGAAGATGGGGAGCCTAACTTGCAGGCGTACCTGGCCACTCTAGCGCCTTCTAGAGTACCATCCTCAAACTTTGACCCCTGATTTGATGTAGAGCTGCAAGGCCCTGGGCATCACCTTGGGCATTCCAGGTCTTGTTGATTATAAAACCCAAATTGTTGAATGTGTTAACGCGTGTCTATATGTTTTGCACGCACACGCACTATATGTTTTTCTTGGTCACGCATGCATCCTTCCCCACCTCGTTTCAGAGCAGCCGGGCAAAGCTTACGACGGAGACGACTGGGAAGGTAGGTGAGTGGGTCAGCCCTAAGAAGTTTCGATCCCTTCATGTGAGAACGTGGCGCCCCTGGATATAAAGGTGTGATCACGTGGGAGGCGCATCGTATCCGACTTCAGCCAATGAGCGTCCGAGACCAATTTGCTTCACAATATTACCGGGAATTTTAAATGTATCCAGATACCAAAATTATCATATCGTAGCAAGACATTGAAACCGCTGTATGAAGCATTTATCTTATATATTGCATCTTGTACACCTTAATCGTGTTATTTTTGGTTGGCTACCTTTGAAAATTCTTATTTTATACAAAATACCACTTTCGCAAACTACTTGCTCTCCATACAACATGGTGGGCAGCGTCTGGTCTGGCTTTTCAAACGAAGTGCCCGCGCTGTGGTCACGTGGTTCGGACGCAAACTGATGCGCATAACGAGCAAAAATAAGTGCGCCGGAGGAAATCACCCATGAATTTCCACCATGGGTGTGACTATGGAGGGGGTGTATATAGAATTTGGTGTAACCATGGAAGAATTTTCGATATCATCATAGGCTGAATGGCCTGTTCCGTCTCCAAAATGATCGTCTCTCCATCTTCTACGTCTACCTGGATCTCGAGTTCCTACGAGTGCGTAGTGGAAGAGCTTATTTGGTAGTCTCTCCCCAGTCATCCGTTGGATATGAGGGAACCATTTGTCTTTTCGCTCTTGGATTCTCATATTGAGGTGCGAAATTTTCAGTTCGCTTCTGACGTCTTTGGTTCTAATGTGGTTTTGAGGTGTCGTGGCTGCGAAATATTGCTTAGAAAAGTTGGAAAAGGATTAACAGAAATTGCAACTAGCATCGCCTTGTGTATTCTCATCAGACGAGAGTTCTGGAAAAAGCGTCTCATAATTTACAAAGATTAATACTTTGCCGAAAGAAGTAATAAGTATTGAAGAGATTGTCATCGTTACCTCAGTCTGGACGAAAATTAACGTTCTCCTTACGAATTTTTAACGCTTGGTGTTTATGCAGCCCTCTTTCCTGCCGCGTTTTGAAGTATGAGGTCAGGAAGACTGCAGAAATGTGTTGAGAATTGCTTGTCAACGTACCGGATCAAACTTTCCAAACGCCCAATACACGTTTCACTTAGCTTCTCTGCATGATCGCTACGAAACTGCTCACGGCTTCTCTGATTTTCAAACAATGCGAGCTCGTCGCGTCAGATGTAAAAAATTGGATTTCTGGAAATCTGACAATGAGTAAATCTTTCGTCGCGGCCGCCCAAGAGGTGCTCGATCAATTGGTGACTTGTCGAACCAGTTGAAGCAGTTGACAATCGATTTCAAAGAGTTTAGAACAAAAATGAGTATTTGGTCAATTGGGAAAGAATTCACGCGGTTTTTGAGCATTTCCGCGGCGGGAAGTTTGAAGTGTACGATCTTTTCTTCTAAAATGCCTTCAAAGAACAGTGAAATTGCACTGTTCGAAGCGTTCGATTATCCAATGGAATTGTTACACCTGATAAAGCCCTCAATTATTGAGAGACACCAAAATACCACATTATTTCATGATTTAAGTCAGTAGCTTTAGGTTTTTTTCTGTTTCGGTGATGACGGTTATATTGCTAATCGTGTTTCTTATTTCAAGCTCTATCAAGCTTTCTTTGTTCCATAGTCCTCGAACATTCCAAGTAGTCAATCTCAATGTCCCCACTATTCGAAGTTGTTTAATCCTTTACCATTGCTGAGTTGTCATATTTTGCCGATTATCTTCTTGGTGATTGAAAGCAGTAGTATAGTCCTCTGGACTCGATGCTACAAGTCCCGTGGTGGGGCTGCCACCTTAGTGGGGACAAGCCCTTCTATGTACTAACCTCATGAAAAGGGTTGCTTTTCGCTCTGCACCAGCTTCGTCGCTGCTGCACCGACCACTGAAGTTTTATCGTTGTGCAAGGGACGTCGGTTAAGCTCGTGACAGGACATTTTTGAGGTCTCCTCTTTTAGAGTTATTCGTCTGACCCCTCCCTTTCCGGAAAGAGAAGTACCGGTGGCTACCACCGGCATAGCTCTCGGATCACGGAGATACTCCAGCTGCACTACCAACGTGTGTGGCCACCTTTACAAAGAAAACACTGATGAAGATCATTGACTGAAATTTTCTGAAACCCAAAACTTGATAGGCTGCGCAGTAGCACACCCATGCATGATGGAAATACATCTACACCGAGCACCCACTATCTTTCCACCATGAACACATTCCATTGCTTCATTGAAGGAGGTCATTCCCAATGCTCAGAACCCCCAATGTTCAACGGCCCCGATAGTTTTTAAAACAATTACATTGGGCTGCGGCGATTTGCCACTTTTGATATAAATGGGTGATAATGAATCAGTTTTTCATCTTGATTACATGTATAATTTTAGTTTTTTTTATCTCATACAGTTTTTGCAAATTTTTCGAGTTTTTGTGTTTTAAATTAGCACGCGATATGTCATGTGCAAAGGCAGGGTTGCGTCAATTCGCTGCTTTTCGGAACAACAACTGATTTTGGACGACCTTCGCGTAATTCGTCTTGGAGTGAACTATGACCACGATTGAATTCACCATAACATCTATAAATACTGGTCCTTGATTGAGCTTCATCGCCAAAAATTGAATTAAGTTCACCCATGCGCTGTTGCTGAGTTACTCGACGTGGACATTTGTAAAAAAATAATCGCACGAAAATGTTCACGATTTAATTCCATTTTTGAGCCAAGATGAATCTTTTAAGTTGTTTTGCGCAGAAAAAGCAATATTTTCAATATTATCATAGCTCTTTCACGAACTGCGTAAGAAAAGTAATGTACTTGTGAAGATCATACTAGTTTTATTAATTGATAGGATTTCTTTATATTCTACAGTAATCGAAATTGGAGAAGGGAACTGGGAAAAGAATAGGAGCCTCAATTATTCCGAGGCTCAAGGGCTCCCAATGCTGATTAAATGGCCTGACCATTGAACATGGTGTAAGACCCGTGTAAGATAAACGTGTCCGGGCTACGGTGTCAGATACTATCTTAAGTCGAACTCGTTCCTCCTCGGTTGGAGAGAACCGGGAACTGGTGGGACTGGGATACCAGTGGGATCGAGGAACGGCAATACACTGACCATCAACTGACCATAACCTTATTGCATGAAATTGACATTTCAAAGTGTGATTGTGAAGATTAGAACTTGTAACCAAGCGTATAAAGACTATGGCCTCAAAGGACAGGTATAATTTATCATGGGCATTAACAAAATACAAATCACGACCGAGGAAAATATTTATAATATTTAA